TGCGTTTGGACTAGAATCATCACACCATGAAAAAAGAGGTGGAGTTTTCCTCTCACTAGGAAACAGAAATACTTTCTCGAAATAACTTATCCCAAAAATGTTCTAAATAAAATTAAATTAAAGGACTTCTAAAGGAATCATGCTGTCATAAGTTGATTAATCCTTTTTCCTGAAATATTAAGTTTGATGAAAAAAATGACAAAATGTTAATTGATATGGTAGATTTATTTTTTCCCAATATGATAAAATCTTTGGTATGAATAACATTATCTCCTGTTTTATAAATTCCAATAACTGTATGTTTTATCTGTCTTGCCTGGCCCTTTTTTTTCCTCTGCTTAATTTTCCTTCTTTCACTCTGTCAGACACCGTCCTGAATATTTAGCAGAATAGAATTCTTTAGAGATTTGCGAATCACACTTGTCAAGTTAGATGCAACGAAAAGCATCACACATATTTCTGGAATTGTACTAATAATGGGGTGTGTGGTGCTCTGTGGGAAGTAGTCATGGTGGAGCTTGAGGGCCCGTTTTATTTCCCTTCTTCCTTAAATACAAGATGGTAGAAATGGACAGTGTCGATTTTCATCCAGATTGTGACTTCCCCAAAGGACTGTACACTGGAGCAGAATTAAGACACCGCACCACCAGTCTCTAAGACCTACCGGCTCATCTTTGCTCTTGTGTCATCCTCCCTCCCTAGATGTTCCAAAGCACCTCTGCACCCCTTGATTCTAGCGCCCTCATCATACCATGTCTTGTCACACAGTGACATTTTCTTGGGATTTTTCTCCTGGATCAGAGTTTCTAGGACCAAGTAAGTTTGCCTAATAATTTTCAGAATAGGTTCTCACATGCATTGACAATAAAAAGGTGCAAAAAGAAAACAAACCTTCAGGGAACAAAAGCCAAATTAAATCAAACTACAGATTTATCTCTTTTGCTTTTCTTAGTATCTTGTTAGTGAAAACCAAGATTCTGTGTTCTTTAATGTCCTTTCTTCTGCCAGAGCTCACCCCTAGCAGCATGAAGGCAGGCTCCAGAACAAGCAAACTTCAGTGCAGAGAACGCCACTTCAGCAGTAATGGGAAAAGGGAAACATAGATGACCTTTCATTTCACTGTGAACCTAGGTTATTGGACTCTTCCTGTCTAGCATTTATTTCAAATAGAAGTAGGTGATGGGGAGAAGTGGACACAAGTAATGTGTCTCACTGATCCAGTGTAAAAAGAAGTCCTTACAGAAAGGCTCTCCAACTTGCTATTGAGAGATAAAAATGATTCCAATGTCAGGATGATATTATACAGAGATCTGGGGGCTCTCCTGTAGGCCAAGGCAAACAGTCATTCAGAAAAAAAGAAAACATGGGAGGGGTCTCATTTTATAAAGAACCCAAGTCTGAGTCTCCCACAGTGCTGCCCTGTCCCTGAACTACCCAAGAAAATGTGAACTACATTTTCTCCAGAAGCTGGAAGTGACATTGAAATGCTCACTTTTACAAAGTTTTCTCTGAAATTCTATAATTTATCTACAAGCTGCTTACTTGTTGACTTTTCAGTAAATGTTTTTCCATGTCTTGAATGAAATCAAACTGATGGATTTCATTTTTCCAGAGGTCCCTCTGGGGAGAAGAAAAACTGGGGGCTTCATGACATGATGTGGATAGTTCAGGTAAAGTGTATACCTACTTAGTAACCAGTGTAAAGCACTTCAGCTGAGACCCTCATGCTCTGATGGGCATTTGCCATGGCTATTTGTGTACCAAACTGTAAGTAAATAGCAGCAGCATTAGGTTTGGATTCAAATCCTTCTCCCTCCCTTTACTAGCTGTGAGACAATAAGTAAGTGACTTGATCACACTGTACCACATATTTTCATCTGTGAGATAGCACTAACAATAATCCTTCGTTCATAGACTTATTTTGATGATTACATCAACTAGTATATATGAAGCACCTAGAACAGTGCCTGACACTCAAAAAACACTATTGTTACATTACTGTTGGATTCAATTTGGCTATATGCTTCTTACTTGCAACTCAGAGAGATATAAAAATTTTTTTGTTTTAATGATTGCGTGTTAATTTTATACGTTCATCTCTTCACTCATTTGGCAAACATTTAACTCTGAAAAGCAGAGACAAGGCATAGTCCTTGCCTTGTAGCAGTTATAATTTACTAATGTTAAAAGGACTAGCAAAGAAGGGAAAGCATTGCAAATGATATTTCAGTTTGAAAACCAAAAAAGGGATTTTTCTCAAATGGGTTCAGTGACCAGGCATTTATTTTCTAGTGTGATCTGCTCTCCTTCTCTAACACCACTTTTAATAGGTAAATATACCCAGAGGCTTTTGTATTCCATTTGTGAAGCAATAGTATAGATTGTCCCAATACTGCCATTAAAATTGCCTAGTATAAAGTGTGTGTTACTCTTGGCTATAAAAATAAAAGTTCCCTATAGACTGGAACTCAGCAAACATTGTTTGATTAAGTTGGGCTTTTTATTTTATGCTCAGAGGAAGGCAACATGCCCTAGTGAATCAAGCTGTTTTGAAGCTGGATGAGACTTCCCATTCCAACTCTGACTTTAAGAGATATATGTGGAAGTGTCGTTGGTTTCTCCCCATTTGAAAACAAAGGAGAGTAGTTTGTCTCCTATATTTTATTATGATGAAGGTAGTAAAAGGTTTAAAGGTTATCATGAACCCTACCTTTTTCATTTTTTGCTTTCATTTTATTTTTTATTTCCAACTTTGATTTTAAGTGCATGTGCAGGGTGTGCAGGTTTGTTATATAGAAAAACGTGTGTTATGATGGTATGCTGCACAGATCATCCCATCACCTAGGTATTAAGCCCAGCATCCATTAGCTATTCTTCCTGATCCTCTCCTTCCTCCCACACCCCTGACAGTTCCCAGTGTGTGTTGCTCCCCCTCGTGTGTCCATGTGTTTGCATCATTTAGCTCCCACTTTTAAGTGAGAATATGCTGTGTTTGGTTTGCTGTTTCTGCATTAGTTTGCTGAGGATAATGGCCTCCAGCTCCATGTTCCTGCAAAGAACATGATCTCCTTCCTTTTTATGGCTGCATAATATTCCATGGTGTATTTGTACCACATTTTTTTTATCCAGTGTCATTGATGGGCATTTAGGTTGATACCATGTCTTTGCTATTGTGAATAGTGCTGCAATGAACCGTACATGTGCATGTGTCTTTATAATAGAATGATATATATTTCTTTGCATATATACCTAGTAATGGGATTTCTGGGTCAAATGGTATTTCTGTCTCTAGGTCTTTGAGAAATCACCACACTGTCTTCCACAATGATTGAACTAATATATACTTCCACTAACAGGGTGAAGGCTTTCCTTGTTCTCCACAACCTTGCCAGCATCTGGAATTTTTTGACTTTTTAATAATTGCCGTTCTGACTTGTGTGACATGGTATCTCACACTGGTTTTATTTCTCTAATGATCAGTAATGTTGAGCTTTTCTCATATATTTCTTGGCCATATGTATGTCTTCTTTTGAGAAATGTCTGTTCATGTCCTTTGTCCACTTTTTAATGTTTTTTTCTTGTAAATTCATTTAAGTTCCTTATACATGTTGGATATTAGACCTTTGTCAGATGCATAGATTGCAAAAACTTTCTCCCATTCTATATGTTGTCTGTTTACTCTGTTGATAGTTTCTTTTGCTGTGCAGAAGCTTTTTAGTTTAATTAGATCCCATTTGTCAACTTTTACTTTTGTTGCATTTGCTTTCAGCATCTTCATCATGAAGTCTTTGCCATGCCTATGTCCTGAATGGTACTGCCTGGATTTTCTTCCAGTGTTTTTACAGTTTTGGGTTTTAAATTTAAGTCTTTGATCTACCTTGAGTTAATTTTTGTATACAGTGTCAGGGAGGGGTCCAGTTTCAGTTTTCTGTGGATGGCTAGCTAGTTCTCCCAGCATCATTTATTAAACAAGGAATCTTTCCCCATTGCTTTTGTCAGGTTTGTTGAAAATCAGATGGTTGTAGGTGTACAGTCTTATTTCTGGGTTCTCTATTCTGAATCCTAATTCTTTCTCATGCTGTCTCAGAATATTAACCTGGAAAAATACCGGTTTTACTGCTTTCTTATTCCACAGAATAAAAGCAAGCAAATATAATTAATTTAGCTGATTTAGCCACGTGCAAATAGATCTAGTAAATATCAGAGATTAGACTTTTCAGCAAGTGGCCCTTCTAAAAGGATTCAGACATGCTTGGCCACAAGAAAGAACAAGTGAATAGAGAGGAGTGCTCCTCTCCTGAGCTCCAGTTCAAACATTTTGTTTTGTTATTTGTATATCACTATCAATTTTTCACAAATTTCCTCCTCATGGCAATTTACAACTTTAGGAAGGAAATTGCTTTGTGATACACTTGACTTCCATTGCTGCTTTCAAGGAAACTAATAGAAAACAGCACACAGATGTTTCTCTTCTCTTTGCCACTTGCCTGCATGCGCGCGCACACACACACACACACACACACACCCCTATGGCTAAAGTCAGCCCAAGTCCTCTTTGGCAGAGGCCATCCTGGATAAAATCAGCTGGACTACTGGCCTTAAGAAGCAGTGACACCATCTAGGTCTACCCTGAGCTGTGAAATCAGCTGGTTACTGAAAGTGAAGAGTAATTCTCAAAGAAAACAATTCTATTTTCTCTACAAAGTCTTCTCATCCATCTTCTTTTCTTTTTCTTTCTTTTTTTTTTTTTTAAGAGGGTGTCTCACTCTGTTGCTGAGGCAAGGGTGCAGTGGCACAATCTTGGCTTACTACAGCCTCAACTTCCTGTGCTCAAGTGATCTCCCCACCTCAGCCTCCCAGGTAGCTGGGAGATAGCACTGTGAGCTATCCACAAGCACGTTCCACCATACCAGGAAATTTTTTGTAGAGATGGGTCTTGCTATGTTGCCCAGGCTGGTACCGAACTCCTAGGCTCAAGTGACCCTCTCACCTTGGCCTCCCAAAGTGCTGGATTACAGGCATGAGCCACCACATCCAGTCCCTATCTTCTTTCTCATAGAACTTTCTAGTTAGTCTGGCAATCTCTTCAAAGAAGTTATGTGCTTCTGTAGGCAGAAACAGTACCTTATGTTTGATTCCCTATAGCAGCTAAGACAAAAAATTTGTAAACCTAATTAAGAAATATTTTGATATTAGAGTTCTGGAAAGACAAAAAAAATTTAAAAACACAATTACTTTTGCACCAGCCTAACTCCCTGGTTGCTGCTTGGATATTGACAAGGAAAACCATTCTCCCTGGGCACAGTAGGTGCAGTTTTCTTTGCAAACTTCCCTGATTATAGATTACATTTTGGGTATACATTAAATCAAGATTCCATTAGTGAGTTTATCTTATGTATTGGACCTTGTTTAGGCCAAAAAGTACAGATGGTTCAACTCCATCCTAATTAATCAAACTGTGAGAAGATGAAGTAGAGAAAGACCTAGAAACATGGGCAGAAACTATTTTGAGATCTTAAGATTACCCATATGACTTACACAGTCTGAATATTATAATTCTATATTCCAATTGACCTTCTTACCACCAAAGATCTACCCCAAACATGGTGGTTTCTCTGACCCTCTGCTCTGGTGATAAGTAGTTATTTGCAGCATTTTAGGTAGAATTTAAAAACTGTATTAATTAAGGTTCTTTGGTTGCTAGCAACAGAAGCAAGCCTACTTAATTTGAGCAAGAATCATATTATTAGGAAGCTACGGGACAATGTACATGATCATAGAGAAGACTGAAGAAACCATCAAAAACCAGGTAGCTTCCAAAGTCTCAGCAGTATCTCCATGGACATCCTCTTCTAGAATGATTGGACTCTGCCTTTTGTTTTGTTTGTTTTTTAGGAGAGTGATTAGCTAAGTTTAGGGCACATGCTCATTGCTTGCCTGTCATGGAGCAGTAAGAAAGATAATCTGATGGAAAGAAACTCAGGGAAGCCCATACTTCCAAAGAGATGAGACAGGTACCTGAATTTGCCAAAACCAAGACTGTGCTCAATGCAGGGAGAAGATCCACTCCCTCCTACCCACAAAATAGCAAAAAGCTTCAAGAAATTTGGAAAAGGTGCCTACAAAAAATAAATATTTACTACCACCATCACTCTCCTTTACCTTCTGCTATAGAGGCATTATTGATTTATTCTCTCCAAGTCTGTTAACCCTTAGTTTTAAAAGTGGGGAAATTATGTGTGTCTGCTGTTTAGAATCTTGCTAACAAACTTATCCCATCAGTTAGCCTAATTTTCCCAGGATATTGCACCCATAAAAGTTTCTAAAATAAAATTTCTGCCTATTCTTCTCTGTCTCTGTGCAGCACAGCATGTAAAATCCAGGTACTCAGTTTAGCAACATTTTGCAACATTGATACTATCCCCATCTGATTTGCTAAGAAGATGAATATAAGCAAAATGACATTGGTGGCTTTTCATATTTTCCCAGCTTAACAAAGGAAGGATTCTGTAAAATTAACATACATTTGGATTGGAATAAGGAGCTAAAGCAACTGTCTGTGCAAGGTTTATAATGTCTGAACTCCCACCAAGCTGCTATCATCTCTCCATATGTCTCCTGGTCATTGGGAGCCAAATTTAGGATTTATAAAAACTCAGGGCAATGCCTTTTCTGGTCATGGTACCTGTAAGTGAGCAAATGATTAAGATGACCTACTACTTACTAAATCAACATGTTTAGTAGCTGTCATCCAGAAAACATGCCAGAGCCAAGATAGTACTTGTGTTCATACAAGGCCTTAAAAGAAAGATTCTGCATGTCCATGTTCTGCTATTCCTCTCCAATATTTACACATTATACTATGACAACATAATGTATATTTACTCTGATTACTAGGTCATTTTCACTTCCCAGCTATTTGGCTGATAATTGCTATTCACTGTGTTCCTAAATGCTAAATGACGAACACGCTGGTGCTGATGGAAGTTGTATGTGCCATTTTAGCACTGTGCCAGGAAAAGAAGCTGGGCATAGGGTGCCAACTGCAAAGCCTTACAGTGTACTGACCAAAGCATAGGCCCTCATTTATCCATTCAACATTTCAGAAGTTGTAGCTGCAGTTATCTATTTAAATCATTGAAATAATAATTTTTGTGATTTATTATACTGTTGGTTAGCCAACAAAGTCCAAAATATACTGAATTATCTATGTTTTAATTGCTCCCCTACAATGAATATGGAATCCTGATCATTGCCCACTCCTTCTTCTTGGTTTTAAATTTATAAGCCAAAAATGTGGTTATCATTCATGTTGGTTTTAAATTACTTCAGATGTCTGTACCAGCTATAGGAACACACTGCTACCCTTTAGGATATGGCATTTCCTGCCCAGTAAAAACCCTTTGAAAAACTATGCCTCCTAAACTCCAATTTTAGATGCATCCTATCTGCAACTTTCAGGCCTAAGCAAAAAAAGGAAGAACATAAAAGCTGAGGATATCATGCCTGGCTTTGTTTCCTGAGGTTTGAGGTGAAGATCAGTAAGAGCGCTGGCATTACCTAATGAGTTTCATCCGTTCCGGTTTCAGGAGAATGTAAGTTCAGACATAGGTTTGCAGAGTCATGTGGAATAAAGAAGTCAGAGACTAAGGAGTTGAAGCAGAGAGATGAAATCAGGTTCTCTGTTAATAAGGCTCTATGCTCACTTGGTTTGCTATAGCCTTAATTTCCATTCAGAGTGTTTTACGGACAAGAGGACCAGCACATAAAGGCAGGCAGGAGAGAGGGGACCACAGCCAGGCTTGGCGTTCTGAAAGTTTGTTCAAAGTAGGCTACAGAATGAAAAATTAGACCCAGAGCTTGTCCCAGGGGTTTATAATTTAAATTAGGCAATCACTGCTGGGAGTTAATTACAGGTGTCCCATCAAAACCTACAGCAAAGTTTGGGAGTTTCTGATTACGGATATAGAGACACCTTGGAAGCAAGGAAAATATAAAATTTTTTAAAGGCACAAGAGAAATGAGAGACAGTAAATAATTGTTTTAAAAGAATGTGACGAATTCAAGAATAAGTGTTATGTTACCCATATATTTCGAAAAGTTAAAAAACAAGGAATGCCACTACTAGTGACAACAACAACAAAAGCTATTGTATAGCACCATTTTTTACAACTTCCTCATTTTGCCCATGCTTTCCACTTTCAAGTTAATTCTTTCCACAGGATTGTCCTATTTTGACATACAGATTACAATTACAAGATAGCAACCACCACCATTCACTCTGTTTTGGACTCCAAATATTTCTGGTGAGTTTGAGTTTAACCCTTTGTTCATCTTTCTTGTTATTGGTTTGTCAGTTTAAAACATCGTGGAAAGATAACTGGGCTTGAGTAAGTACACAGGATTTCCACTCTTTTCTTAAAAACTAAGCGCGACATTAACCCCCTTGGGCCTTAGCATCTTCATTTGTAGGATAACATCCACCATACCTAGTTTAGGATTATTTCAGGAATCAAAATAGATGAATATCAAATATATTTTTGCCAAGCATAGATTCAATGGGAGTTGATACTTTTTAATATATTTTTCTGATGTTATACAATTTGGACTGGCAGCTGTAAGTCATGGCTAAAAAGCCCAATTCCTCATATCTGTGTAGCTGTTTGCTTGAGACAACTTCCCTCCACTAAGGTGCCAGCACCTCCCACATTCTTCTCTTGATTTATGATTTCCTAAATCTAGAAAATACATGGGAAATCGCTGAGTATATTCCCAGCATATACTGCTACCAAGATTCTTTCTATCTTCCTATAAGGATTACATTTTCCAAGATGGAATGTGCCACATTAGTCTATAGACACAAATACTTCCTATTCTGAAGTTTCATTGATTTCTCGATGCTATCTCAGAATGGCTGTGGAAGGACTGCTAAGAAATTGTGATGTCAATCAAAACACCACAAAAAGCAGCATGCTGTCATGGATAAAATACCTTTGATGTATGGCAGGCACAGATTCTGGTAATTGATAAGTATTTTTCTTCAGGACTTCTCTTGTCTGGTTCAGCCATCATGCTGTTCGTTGGTTGGTTGGTTGGTTGGTTGGTTGGTTTTTCTCAATCTGGCTCCATCTGCATTATAAGTCATAGAGAGTGTTCCCAGACATAAGCATTAGTTTATTAGTCTCAGTGTGTGTTTGTGTCTTCGTCCTTTCCTGTGCACTCAGTATTTTATCATCAAATTAGGAGATGTGATATTTTAATTAACAAGCAAAAGTCTTGCATATTGACCCAGAAGTGTATTTTATCCATTGATTTTCATTCTAACATAATTGGACCTGTAATGCCACAGCCTCTTTGTCCATGAACATCCTACATGATACCTGGACAGTATAGCTAAAGACACACTTGGAGTGGTAGATAAAAGAGTAGAGCAAACATGGGATTCTTAGCAACTGCCCAAAAACCCCTAATGCAGCAACCTGTGCTAAACTCCTGGCTCATATTGCAGAATGAGCCAGTCAGGGTGCCCTCTGACTGTAATACCTGGCTCCATTTTTCACATGTATCTCATCTACCAGATTTTCTGGTCTGAAAGAGGAATTTCAGAGTAATAAAAGCAGTGAATGGTGAAAGGCCTAATAATTATGGAGAAGACAGGATGGATGGTGGCAGAGAGCCAGCACAGGATGAGCCCTTGTGAGCACTTCTATCTTTCCTTGAGTAGCGGAAAGAGTTCAATCGCATTCATCAAAGATTAAAGTGCTTTGAGCTGCCCCTCCAGAGCACTTGGAAAGAGTCGTTGCCTTCTTCTCTCTCATCTAGAAACAGATTAAGTTTTTCCATCCATCTATTAATTTTCTACATCTGGTACAGTTTTTACAACTTTCCACCAGAGTTTCCTCTTCAAAAAGCATTGGTCATTCTGAGACAACCATTTCTCTTTCTCTGAAGAAGCTTTGGGAGGCTTTAGGGTGAGAAAGAGGAGAGGATAGAGTCCATGTGTGAAAAATGTGAAGATAAGTTTTGTTTTCATAATCCCTATTTCCTGTTCATATATCTGTAGAACTGTTCTGAAAATTAAATAGAATGAGTTGTGGGAGCAAACCTGAGTCATTCAACCCTGAGAGAAAGTGTGAGTCTGGATCAAGTTCAACTCAATTCAACAAGTATTGATTGACTGCCCATGATGTGCTATCACAGGGTTATCAGGCTGAAAAGCAGAAAACCTACAGAGAGGAAACTGATAAAGCCTTTTTTGTCTGTTGTACTTGGTGTTATCTGTTATACCTGAATCTTGACTAACAACTTAACTCATGAATTAGAGGAAGTTTTTGTGAGTTTTACTTTACAGTATGCATTCCCCCATCCCTTCTAATAGGATACTGCTTTTCCTCAAGAAACATCCCCTCACGTTCCATCCATGACATCCAGATAAAATGGATTCCATCTCCAGTAACAAAGGAAGGTGTGTACCCAGGCTAAGGTGATCAATGTAACATCCTCCTCTCGCTACAGTGAATGGTTCCAGGAAGAGCACATAATGATACTAGAGTTGATCTAAGCTAATCCTGAGAATACATTCCAGAGTCACCACAGGAGAGACACGCAGTCTATGCTCGAGTTTCTGAAAGTATAGATTAAGGGCCTGAAGCTGCTGGCAACCATATTGACACCAAAAGGAAGAGTCTCCCTGAGAAAAGACTTAAGGCAGAGACAAGCAAAGTCAAGTACCAAAAGACAAAATTGTAAAGACAGTTTTAGCCCCCAACTTTTGTTTTTGTATTTTTTTTTTTTTTGGAAGGCAGAAAGAGGCTTTTTAAAATTATTTATTTATTTATTTAATGTTACTTTAAGTTCCAGGATACATATGCAGAATGTGCAGGTTGGTTACATAGGTATGTGTGTGCCATGGTGTTTTGTTGCATCTATTGACCCATCCTCTAAGTTCCCTCCCCTCACCACCTCACCTCCAACAGGCCCTGGAGTGTGTTATTCCCCTCCCCGTGTCCATGTGTTCTCATTGTTCAACTCCCAATTATGAGTGAGAACATGCAGTATTTGGTTTTCTGTTCCTTTGTTAGTTTGTTGAGAATGATGGCTTCCAGCTTCATCCATGTCCCTGCAAAGGACATGATCTCATTCCTTTTTATGACTGTATAGCATTCCATGGTATCTATGTACCACATTTTCTTTATCCAGTCTATCACTGATGGGCATTTGGGTTGGTTCAATTACTTTGCTGTTATAAATAGTGTTGCAGTAGACATATGTATGCATGTGTCTTTATAATAGAATGATTTATATTCATTTGGGTATATAGCCAGTAATGGAATTGCTGGGTCAAATGGTATTTCTGGTTCTAGATCCTTGAGGAATTACCACACTGTCTTCCACAATGGTTGAACTAATTTACATTCCCACCAACAGTGTAAAAGCATTCATATTTCTACACAGCCTTGCCAGCATCTATTGTTTCTTGACTTTTTAATAATTGCCATTCTGACTGGCATGAGATGGTATCTCATTGTTATTTTGATTTGCATTTCTCTAATGATCAGTAATGTTGAGCTTTTTTTCATATGTTTGTTGGTCACATGTAAGTTTTCTTTTGAGAATTGTCTGTTCATATCCTTCACCCACTTTTTGATGGGGTTGCTTTTTTCTTGTAAATTTGTTTAAGGTCCTTATAAATTCTGGATATCAGACCTTTGTCAGATGGGTAGATTGCAAAAAGTTTCTCCCATTCTGTAGGTTGCCTGTTCACTCTGATGATAGTTTCTTTTGCTGTGCAGAAGCTCTTTAGTTTAATTAGCTCCCATTTCTCAATTTTGTCTATTGTTGCAATTACTTTTGGCATTTTCTTCATGAAGTCTTTGCCCATGCCTGTGTCCTGAATGGTATTCTCTAGGTTTTCTTCTAGGGTTTTTATGGTTTTAGGTTTCACATTTAAGTTTTTATTCCACCTTGAGTTACTTTTGCATAAGATGTAAGGAAAGGGTCCAGTTTCAGTTTTCTGCATATTGCTAGTCAGTTTTCCCAGCACCATGTGTTAAATAGGAGATCCATTCCCCACTGCTTGTTTTTGTCAGGTTTGTCAAATATCAGATGGTTGTGGATGGTGCTGTTATTTCTGAGATCTCTGTTCTATTCCATTGGTCTATATGTCTGTTTTGGTACCAGTAACATGCTGCTTTTGCTACTGTAGCCTTGTAGTATAGTTTGAAGTCAGGTAGCATGATGCCTCCAGTTTTGTTCTTTTTGCTTAGGATTGTCTTGGCTATCCAGGGTCTTCTTTGATTCCATATGAGATTTAAAGTAGTTATTTTCTAATTCCGTGAAGAATATCAATGGTAACTTGATGGAAATAGCATTGAATCTATAAATTACTTTGGGCAGTATGGCCATTTTCACGATATTGATTCTTCGTACCCATGAGGATGGAATGTTTTTCCATTTGTTTGTGTCCTCTCTTATTTCCTTGAGCAGTGGTTTGTAGTTCTCCTTGAAGAGGTCCTTCACATCCCTTGTTGGCTGTATTTCTAGGTATTTTATTCTCTTTATAGCAATTGTGAATGGGAGTTCATTCATGATTTGGCTCTCTACTTGTCTATTGTTGGTGTAAAGGAATGCTTGTGATTTTTGCACATTGACTTTGTATCCTGAGACTTTGCTGAAGTTGCTTATCAGCTTAAGATGTTTTGGGGCTCAGATGATGGAATTTTCTAAATATAAAATCATGTCATCGGCAAACAGAGGCAATTTAATTTCCTCTTTTCCTATTTGAATACCCTTTCTTTCTTTCTCAGGCCTGATTGCCTTGGCCAGAACTTCCAATACTATGTTAAACAGGAGTGGTTAAAGGGCATTCTTGTCTTGTACTGGTTTACTAGGGGAATGTTTCTGCCTTTTGCCCATTCAATATGATACTGGCTATGGGTTTGTCATAAATAGCTCCTATTATTTTGAGATATGTTCCATCAATACTTAGTTTATTGAGAGGGTTTGTTTTCTGTTTGTTTGTTTTTTGAAATGGAGTATCATTCTGTGGCCCAGGCTGGAGTACAGTGGCGCAATCTCAGCTCACTGCAGCCTCCACCTCCTGGGTTCAAGCAATTCTCCTGCCTCAGCTCCAGAGTAGCTGGGGTTACAGGCGTGCACCTCCACACCTAGATAATTTTTGTATTTTTAGTAGAGACAGGGTTTCACTACATTTGCCAAGCTGGTGTCAAAATCCTGACCTCAAGTTATCCACCAGTTTCAGCCTCCCAAAGTGCTGTAATTACAGGTGTGAGCCACCACACCTGCCCAATTGAGAGTTTTTAACATGAAGCGATGTTGAATTTTATCAAAGGCCTTTTCTGCATCTATTGAGATAATCACATGGTTTTTGTCTTTGGTTCTGTTTATGTGATTGATTACATTTATTGATTTGCGTATGTTGAACCAGCCTTGTATCAGAGGGATGAAGCCGACTTGATCGTGCTGGATAAGTTTTTTTGCTGTGCTGCTGGATTCGGTTTGCCAGTATTTTATTGAGGATTTTTGCACTGATGTTCATCAGGGATACTGGCCTGAAGATTTCTTTTTTTGTTATGTCTCTGCCCAGTTGTGGTATCAGGATAATGTCGGCTTCATAAAATGAGCTAGGGATGAGACCCTCCTTTTCATTTGTTTGGAACAGTTTCAGAGGAAGGAACTCCTCTTTGTACCTCTGTAGAATCTGGCTGTCCATCCATCTGGTCCTGGACTTTTTTTGGTTGGAATTTATCCATTTCTTCTAGATTTTCTAGTTTATTTGCATAGAGGTATTTACAGTATTCTCTGATGGTAGTTTGTATTTCACTGGGGTCAGTGGTGATATCCCATTTATCATTTCTTATTGCATCTATTTGAATCTTCTCTCTTTTCTTCTTTATTAGTCTAGCTAGTGGTATGTTTATTCTGTTAAGTTTTTCAAAAAACCAGCTCTTGGATTCACTGATTTTTTGGAGGGGTTTTTGTGTCTCTACCTCCTTCAGTTCTGCTCTGATCTTAGTTATATCTTGTCTTCTGCTAGTTTTTGGATTAGTTTGCTCTTGCCTGTCTAGCTCTTTTAATTGTGATGTTAGGTTGTTGATTTGAGATCTTTC